AGCCCCGAAGAAAATATACAAGGACTCCCTGAAACATCTCAGCCTCGACCATATTGATCAACATAACTGGTCTACTCTGGCCTCCAATCGGGAGGCCTGGAGACACATCATCTATAACGCAGCTGCTTCCCTTGAGAACGCACGCAGGATCACTCTTGAGGAGAAAAGACAACGCAGAAAGAATCGTGTCTTGCAGAATACACCACCTAAGGAGTCTTTCTGCTGTGCCTTTTGTAATCGGACGTGTCTGTCTCGTATTGGCCTCATTAGCCACCATTAGCGTGCTTGTAACAAATGTGGATAGAACCTTTCCCAAATCTTTGTTCGTGAAGCCTAGCCATGAATGATGAATGGTTCAGGAGTTTCTTGGTGAATATGTTTCTGTGTTTCAGAACAGCTCCTTATGATGGCACTGCTTTAGCTTGTCTAAACAGGTAAGTCACTAAGGTCTCACAATTTTCAGCATAAAGCTTGAGATGAAAGGTGTGACCTTGGATAGTTTGGTGTGATAATAGAACCGAGAATGATTTCTGGAAGGGGCAAGGACTGTGAGCTTTGTAAGGTGTAATTTTTAGTGAAGTTAGCAACAGGTTAGTTTGTAGGATCACTCCTATTCTTAATTTGTGAGAAACAATATTTCTGCTCCTCCCCATAAGAAAAGAACACAAGCTAATTAAGAAAAACCTGTATAATAAAAGGAGCAGATTATCAACTGGTTTAGATTTCCTCTTCTTGCTTGTTATGCAGTTCTGATACAGATGTATTATTAATTCATATTAAATTGCAACGTCGGTGTTACTATTTTAAAAGACTTGTTTTCTAATGTAACAGTCAAACTTCAGAATTATTTTAGATGGTGAAGGATATTCAGTGTGTTTTCTTCTACCTTATTTCGTATCAGATTTCTGATTTTCTTCTTATCCCTTAAATGCATTGCCTCTGAACTTAGTGAGGGAAAACTACGGGTCTAGCATACAAGTTGTAGTTGTTCTGTGCTAGTGCCTTCATGCTTAAACAACCCTACTTAAGTCTCCACTAGGTTATGTGTTCTCTTAGGTTGTAACCTGAAGTAACAGAGGGAGAAAACAGTGTCAAATGTTACTGACTTTTGCGTGAGATGGTGAAAGAAGCAGCAGCATAAAAAACCTGAGCTCATGGGAAATAATAGTCTTTCAGAGGCAGGGAAAGTTTGGTCTGTATGTGACAGGCAGTTAGACTTGCTAAATGATTAATTGTGCAAAACAGAAGAAAGAGACTGTGAACATGCCTGTCCATGTCTTAACACTGCTTTTGAAAGGCAATGTATGTTATTCTTATTACAACCTTTAGTGACCCCAAACTTGGCAGAGCAGGAGGGGTACGTGCTGGCTGAGAGCTGTGCAGCAGTTTTCAAGTAGATTCTTGGTCTAACAGTAACTTTCAAACAAATCTCTTTGTATATCATTTTCATAAATTAGTGTTAGAAGTATGGACTCCTGCATGTGTGTTAAACAAATTCCTCACAGCTTTTGTTGTGAACAATAAAACTCTCTGAATGACAGCCAGGTTACATTGTGAGCTACCAGTCCAAGTGGAGCTACAAGAAGAATAGCCATTTGACTTATTTTTCATTTTTCTTCCTCCTCTCACCACTGCCACTTTTAGAGAAGGAAGAGGTACATTTTTCCTTTTTCATCCTCAGCTTTGATATATTGGGGGTTTTCCATGTTTTCAGAGATTTTTAAGGCATGGGTATGTCCTCTGAAGGTACATTCTGAATCAAGGCCCTTTTGTAAGGAAACATAAACTTTGGTTTTCACTTGGTAGCTTAATTTCAAAGATAGTTTCCTTTTGTTTTGAGGGGAGGATATTCGGTTGGTTGGTTTGTTTTCCAGATCTTCCTGATTTCTGTAGGCTTTGCTGCAAACACTTTCTAAGTGTCTTTCAAGTCTTGTCTTCTGTGGTGATACAAGTTGGGGAAGAGCTGGTTGCTTGAGCTCCAGGGAATGAGGGAAGATCTGACATGGAATACGAGTCTTGTATCAGGACCTGAAATGACACCACTTCTGAAAACAATCAGGAAACCCTTATTAAAACTAAAGCAAGAATAAATAGTGATACATCTTCCTCCTTAGCCTCTGCTTTTCCATCTTGGGCTGGTTGCCGTTTCTGAGACAAGGAGGTCCATTAAAGAGACAGAGCAGTACTGCAACACCACTGGTAGCCACGTGGTAGGTGGTTGTTTCTGTAGCCTCCCTGCAAGAGGATCAGGTTGACAGCACCTGCTGCTTTAACCTCAGCACTTGGAACATCTTCTGAGGTGGTTTTGCCAGCACCTGTCCCACTCCTCATCTTTTGAGGCTCTCCTGTCTTCATTCTCCTCAGGCTCCTTCTTTAATAGAAGAGTGTGCTTGATGGAAGAATCACCTGTTTTCTCCAGCAGTACTTTCAAATAGAGATACACTCTGCTTGGGACATGCAGATACACCCACCTTTACTAAGGGTTGTGAAGGAAAGTCTGAAAATCATGCCTGTGATTGATGTTTTCAGGTGTAATAAATCTACGTAGGAGGTTGGTGGAGGTTGCTTCTGTGCTTTGGTAGGCTTTGTGAAATTCTATATAAATAAATTCTGGTTTGAAGAGGTTGTTCATAAGGAAAGAAAAACAACATAGCTGCTCACTAAAAACAGCCAACAGCTTGTTCAGTCAGCTGTCTTTTACTTCTCTGGGCCAGCATTTGGTTCCTGTTGACTATTTAGGTTTAAGAGTTACATTTTCTTAAGCACATATATAATTTTTCAGTACTAACATTCCCATGATTTTGTAGAAACTGCTGTCTGATTAATTTCATTTTCATATGTATTGGAAATAGAAAAGAGTTTAATTAACAACATTGTAGGTTATGTTTTTGCGTGCACTATTGGTGTACACAATATAAGAAAGACATTAAGCTATTAGAGAGTATCCAAAGGAGAGCAACAAAGATGGTGAAGGGCCTTGAGGGGAAGCCGTATGAGGAGCGGCTGAGGTCACTTGGTCTGTTCAGCTTGGAGAAGAGGAGACTGAGGGGAGACCTCATTGCAGTCCACAACTTCCTCATGAGGGGAAGAAGAGGGGCAGGCACTGATCTCTTTTCCATGGTGACCAGTGACAGGACCCAAGGAAATGGCCTGAAGTTGTGTCAGGGGAGGTTTAGGTAGAATATTAGGGAAAGGTTCTTCACCCAGAGGGTGGTTGGGCACTGGAACAGGCTCCCCAGGGAAGTGGTCACAGCACCAAGTCTGCCAGAGTTCAAGAAGCCTTTGGATGATACCCTCAGGCACACGGTGTGACTCTTGGGGCTGGTCCTGTGCAGGGCTAAGGGTTGGACCTGATGATCCTTGTGGGTCCCTTCCAACTCAGCATATTCTGTGAATCTGTGAAATGTGGTTGCACTGTAAACTCTGCTGCAGGTGTCTTGGGATAGTCCAACTCTTTAGCTATTAACATACTTTACAAAATAACTGCACAGTGAATTGCAGTCAGCCTGTCTTCTGTGACAGATATGTATTTGGCAAAGAGTTCTTCTTCCATGATAAAGGAGACAGCTGTCATTGCTGGCCTTTTCAGTGTTGAGACTCACTGGGTCTAGTACGTAAAAGTGCAGGCATTAGAAATGCAGCAGAGGAATTGGCAGCTACCTCTAGCAGGAAGTTTAGAAGTCTTCAGTGTGCTAGAATAACATGGACTAAAATGGCTTACTGTATAAACTGTCAACACTGTCCCTGTGTCCAAAATATATAGGTTTGCTCTTTACATATTTTCTTCAAATAGGTACTTACCTATTTTCTTCAAATAGGTGCTTTCTGTGTCCAAAATGATTTTTACAAAGCTTTCTCCTATTGCTGTTTCAGACTACACTAGCACACATCATAGCCAACAACAGCAAAAAGAATGGCACAAGGTTTGTGACACTGTCAGCCACAAGTGCCAAGACAAATGATGTTCGAGATGTCATCAGCCAAGCCCAGAATGAAAGAAGGCTCTTCAAGAGAAAAACTATCCTCTTTATTGACGAGATCCATCGTTTCAATAAATCTCAGCAGGTATTGTACTACACCACTTCTTGAAAAAAGCTTTTGTCAGCACTTCTGTAGAATTTCCTACTTTGCCTTAAGATGATACCTTCCTTTGGGCTTTTGATTTCAATGTTAATGTTTTTAGTAGGTGAATTAGGAAGAAATATAAAAATTAAATTCCTTAACTTACTTCCAAGCAGCATTTAATTATTGTGATTCAAAGATTTAAATGAAAGGCTGAGTTACAGTTGACTTACATGTGAGTCCTTATATGATATTTTTCTGAAATTTTATTTCTGCCAAGTCATGTTAGTAGTATTTGCTGCACACATCTTCATTTCAGCCTCCACCTCATGGTAGCATTCTGTATTATCTTTAAAAAGGTCTGGAATGTGAATGTGCCAAGGGTATTTATTTTAATGTTGTCCCCTCTACTCTGTAAGAAAAAGTAAGGCATGGCATGGTGCTTTGGGATAACACTGCAGCCATCACTTGGGTATTTTTTTTCTTTTTCCTTTTCTAGTTATAAAGTTTTTTTAGTTGTAACATAGAAAGCTTGAATGCTGCACTACAGGTTACAGTTTTTATATTGAACTGTACTGCAATCTTCCTGTAGTTTTTTGAGCCATCCTTTAGAATTATGTAGGGAATTGTAGCCCCAAAGGTTGGTTCATAGCGTAGCCTCACTATTCATAATACTTGATAAGGCAATTTCATGATTTCTTATGAAATTTGCCAAGCAATAAATCAAATCCCTATGAATAAACTAAAAATTTGCAGATTTTTTTACCCTGTTTTCATTGGGTGAGGTCATTCTCATTCCAACCATTTGTTATTAAGATGAACAGCCTGTAGCGTGTTAGGTGCATGAAATTAAATCATTTACATATCTGCGCAGATGAACTGCCTTGTCAGGGAACCCAAAGACTCACAAGATGCAAAAAACCCCACAGCCTACTCACCTGGGATGTTTCAGGTTGTCATTGATCGAGATCAGCTTCTTCTGCTTCCCTCCCATCCTCAGGACACTTTCCTTCCTCACGTCGAGTGCGGGACGGTGACCCTGATAGGAGCGACCACAGAAAACCCTTCCTTCCAAGTCAACGCCGCTCTTCTGAGCCGGTGCCGGGTGATCGTCCTGGAGAAGCTCTCGGTGGAAGCAATGGAGGCAATTCTGATGCGGGCCGTCAGGTCCTTAGGGGTCCAGGTTTTGGGCCAGGGCGACCAGCACAGCAGCTCTGCGACTGGCAGCGGCAGTGAGAGCTCAGAGTGAGTACTTTATGGGCTGCAGGGTGTTAACGCGCACGGCCCGAGGAGTTGACTGCCTGCCAGGGAGAGAATGAAGCAGTTGGGGGGTGGGAAGAGAAACCCTAGCCACTTCTGATAGTAAAGAAAAGAAGTGGCAGCATATGGCAGGGGCGGGGGTGACAGGAGAGAGAGAATTCAAAGCATTGGCTCTCTCCATCCAAAACATAATCTTACCGTCTGGATTAGGAGAGAATCTTATGCTTGGATCTGTAACTCCTGACTCACCCTCACAGGATATTTAAATCCATTCTGCTGCTGAGGATTTGCTGTGGAAGTCTGTAACTCAGTCTTTGTCATGTCCTACTGTGTGTTACTTCTTGTTACCAGTTGTAAAAGCATCATGTTACTGTTCAGTAGTGGACCAAGTATCCCCTCTTAATTAATTTGAAAGTGCCTGACAAAAGTTCGTTGTTTTCTGAGAATTTTATTTAATACGATCAGGGAGGATGCTTCTGCTCCTATTCTTTAGTTGCAGGATTTGTGCTGTGCTATATTTTATGGTATCCTTTGAGGAGAGGAGGCTGTTGCTATGAGATGTTAAGAGACTTCGTTTTTCCCTGCTCCTTAATGTCCAGGCCAGATAGAGTCATATTAAATACTTGAGAAAATTTTGGAAAAAACCAAGGTCCGGATTTGTCCATAAGGGATGTTATCTGCCTTCTGAAATGGAAGACTGGCAAATAAGCGTAATGCTTGGTACTGTGGTATTCACATGCAGGCTCTTACACTTCATGTTGGTTCTTGGCTACACTACTAGTAATTTACAGTGCATTGACAGGGTGGTGATTGGCAGGCAGTCTGTATGAAATAAATGAGAGGGAATCCGCTTGAACTTTATCACAGAGTGTAAGCACTAAGAATCACCAATCTGAATGCTGAGGTCAGGGCTGTAAGGAAAGGTATTTCTTTTTTGATTTTAGATTACCCTGCCTCATAGTTTACTCATTTGTTGCTTTCACATGTTGTAGTAATGTGAATTTTAGAAGAGAAGGGAGTGCTGCATGTCAGCCTTAATGTAATGGCACAGCTGTGGTTGTGGCTACACCCTGACTGGGGTTCAGAGACTTTCTTTGCTACACAGGATTAAAGTACAAGGCATAGTTTCAGCTGCAGTTGTTTGGGTTTGGGTTTCGCTAGACTCTGTATCTGTAACCTTCCAATAGCTATGGGTGATTTAAACAGCATAGTGTAGCGCTTCATCAAACTGAAAGAAGTCTGACAGGCAGACTGTCAGACTAGCACAGTTTCAGTAATCTCTCCATGAAGAGAGAGGGCCACACTCCAATGGCTAAGCATTTGAAAATGCTTGAGTCAAGCATTTGAAAATAAAAATAGGGTTTTGAATTGAGGAGAGTTTGTTGCAGTTGTGTGTCAGGTCCTGTCTTTTCTGACACTATCTAGTTCTGGTCCACAGAGGCTACATAGAGTTGCTGATGACTTAGGTTTTTTATAATCCATCCTGTCTCTTACTGTGGTTCTGGTTTTGGCTGCCTCATTAACTCTGTCTTCTTGCTTCACAATTCATACCATTTCTGCTCCTTCATTTCTTCTCCACCTACTACTCCGCAGGAGAAGCTGTCTCATACCTTTTGACCATGCTGCCTCTATGAAGCAGAACTGTCATTAGATGCAGGAAGGTAACTGTTCATGATGTCTTGAGGAAAAAATTAAAGTCACGAGTTACAATTGATTTGGTCGTTAACTGTGCTCACATTTGTTCCAGAGTTAGAAAAGGAGCTGTAAGGCAGTGTGTCCCCAGATGGTGGGGTATGCCTGCTTTGAAAATGCTGCAGAGATCTAGCCAGAAGGAACACGATATGTGTACATTGAATTTTGGACTTAATTTCCCATGTGAGTCCCTTTTTCCAAGCCACAGTATGAAGTACTGAATGTGCTGCTTGGCCTCAGTTTTTCAGATGGTTTTGGTATCACATCACTTTGTCTGACATGACGACTTACCTAAATGAGATTTTGAAGAAGAGCATGATTCTTTGTGGTCTCTCCTACTACCTTGAGAAATAAGATGAGGGGTGAATCTTCCTTAGTCTCTACAGGCATCTTCTGTGCTCAAAAAGAATGCAGCCATCACTTTGTGATTCAATGGTTTCATCATCAGCACTCCACAAGGAAAATGTGCTCTACCCAAATCTGTTCTCTTAAATTTTCTTGGTGGATTTTTCTTGTCTTTCTTCCACCATTGTTGCAGGCTTCCGATAGGGTTAGGTCACCTGGCTTCTCTTTTGTTCCACTGTTGCCTTTTCCTGCTCTAAAGCTGAAACAGAACTAGCAGGAGACATTACCTACTTTGGCATCTTTATTGTTTCATCATGACTCATAGAGCTTCTTTGACAGTTTTATGTTAGTTACTGTATTTCTTTAGGATAAGATATGCTTTGTGTTACATTTTCACCAGCGTTACTGCCATCAAAGTGTGCCTATGAAGTCTGCAGTAAATCAAAGTGAAAGATGGGGTAACAGGAAAGGACAAAACATATTCAGGATGTAGAAGAGTAAGAAGTCAATATTGAAGATGCTTCATATAGCTACACCTTTGCTTGTGCTTTCTGAAGTTTATGCTGCCTCAGTAGTAGCACAAACTGTGCCAGGTGTACAGTAATAGCATACACTGACACTACTACTGTGTCAGTGATGGAGGAAATCAAATTCTTTTCTTGGCTTTTGTTTTTATCATTCCAGTGCTGCCCTCAGAGTGGTAGCTCTAATCGAAGTCAGGCAGTAAACTAGATAGTGGATTAATGTCTTTCAAGTTGGATAGCATAGAAGGCACTCAGCTGAGGGAAATGAAAGGATTCCTGGTTTCCTATTGGCAAGCTCAGACATTATGCAGTTCATCTAGTTACTGGCTGTATCACAAGTTCTGACATGTTTTAAATTCACTGGCTCGTAAATCACAACACTGAAGATGGAATTCCTTTGGATCTTCAGAGTTCAATACCCCTTTGAAAATTAATCCTTATTTGGAACATCTATCCAATTTTCTTGCAGGAAATGAGTTGCTGAGGTGAGAGGTGAATTTCGCCATGGAAATGGACAAGATCTTCGCTTGTAACCAGATTTTCCATACTTTCTTGTAAACATTTGTTTCAATTTCTGTGATATAAATTGCTTGTGTTGAGCAAACAGGGCACTTAGAGTCCTAGAGTGAAATTGAAGAGACAGGAATACAACTCAGCTTTTTTGCCAAGCTTCTAGTTAGCAGATAAATGGCAAAAGTGCCCTGAAGCCTCAACTTGGTTTGGTACAGACTGTACACAGCATCTTCCAAGTGTAGTACCTGCTTTTTAATAACTTTCAGCGCTTCCCTTCCACTTGGCAGTCACTGTGTGTGTTGGTGGTGGGTGTCAGTTTGAGGAGGCCTCAAGCGCATGGTGTTCTTCTCTGCAAACAGCGGGCAAAGAACTTAGTCCTTGCAGGTGAAACCTTCTCTTCAGCATGCCCTGCTGGTGTATCCAAAGTGTTTATTCAGTGTACCGTATATTTGGTTTTGTTCCCTATTGATGAAGGTAATAGCAGCAGGATGTCTGTGTGTAGCGCCCGCTGTTTTTTTTAAAAATTGGATTTGCTTCCCTTGCTGGCTTTTTTCAGTGCATATGAAAAATCTGATGCCTATCTGTACTGCTGAGGCATGAACGTTGCTCCCTGATTTCAAGGAATTTGATCCTGAGATAATTGACTGTGCTGTTGTATTCTTCTGTTTTCCTCATTCAAACACAAAGATGGTGTTTGAAGCATCTGGCAAAAGTGCCTCTGTATGTGTGTTAAATGTTTTTCCTAGTTTTATCAAATAGAGAAGAAATAAGGAGATGGAAAAAAGGTATGACGAGATGTGTATATAGATTTATTTTTCCCACAGGGTGTGATTCCTGCTACCTACTCTCTGCAGCATGGGTTTTGCCCCTAGAAGACATTTGTTGGCCTTCACTTGCAGTGGTGTGGATTAAGATTGCAGCTCTACTAGCTTTTCGCTCTTATGTGTTGCCATGACAGGACTCAAATATTAACTGTTGAAGTTTTTCCAGGACTTACAGTCCTTTTCTTTTGTGTGACAAGTATGAAGTGGGTTTGCAAGGAGGAAGAGAGGAGTCAAGTAATGAAGATCAGTGGGTACATGTTCTTGGGACAATTGGGGTTGTCTTTTTGTACACCACTGGTAATAACAGTAATATATCTTTTTGGTGAATGAAGTACAGGGCTGTTGTGAATCCCTAATTATTTGACACACAAGAGGTTCATAAGAAAGTGCCTCTCACACCAAGCTCTGTGTGCTAATCCCTGCTGATACATGTCACTCTTGATTTACAGTCCGGTTACTAGAAATGGCTCGGTTAGGCCATTACTTAATGCCATGTTTTAACTCCATTAGCTACTGTTTCCAGTCAAATTAGTTGTATCCTCTGCCTGGCAAACGTCATAGGTGTTACCTGATCTACCTAACTAAAGTTTGAGGGTTAAATCCTCAACAGTATGTCTGTGACATGTGCAGGGGTGAGCTGGTTTGTATGTGCCCCAACAGTGGGGACTGCAGCCCGCTAGATGAAAACCTGGAGACAAAGCTTGAGGACTTTGTTGTTCTCCCAGAGTTTTCATAGACCCACTATGAGATCTCAGGAGATTCTTCACCTGCAGCTCCATTTCTTAGCTCTTCCCATGTTGTTCATTCAGATTGTGAGTTTGCTGAAATTTGACCTTTTTCATGTATTT